TAGTTTCTAGTGCATCTACCTTTTCTGAATCCAGCTTGAATCTCTGCATCTCTTGTTGCATATATAGTTTCTTTGTTTTAAGATTTTGAGCATCATTTTACTTGCATGAGAAATTAATGGGATAAGAACATAAGAGACGCCAATGTTGGATCAGGCCAAAGGCCCATCCAGTCCAACACTCTGTGTCACACAGTGGCCAGAAATACCAGTGCCATCAGGAGGTCCACCAGTGGGGCCAGGACATTAGAAGCCCTCCCACTGTTGACCCCCCCAAGCACCAAGAAGACAGAGCATCACTTGCCCCAGAGCCCCTAGCTATACCTTGTGGCTAATAGCCACTGATGGACCTCTGCTCCATATGCTTATCTAATTCCCTTTTGAAGCTGTCCATGCTTGTAGCACCCACCACTTCCTGTGGCAGTGAATTCCATGTGTTAATCACTCTTTGGGTGAAGAAGTACTTCCTTTTATCCGTTCTAACCCGACCGCTCTGCAGTTTCATGGAGTGCCCACGAGTTCTTGTATTGTGAGAAAGGGAGAAAAGTACCTCTTTCTTTACCTGCTCTTTCCCATGCATAATCTTATAAACCTCGATCATGTCACCCCTCAGTCGTCTTTTCTCCAAGCTAAAGAGCCCTAAGCACTTTAACCTTTCCTCATACGGAAAGTGTTCCAACCCTTTTATCATTCGAGTTGCCCTTTTCTGCACTTTTTCCAAAGCTATAATATCCTTTTTAAGGTGTGGTGCCCAGAACTGCACACAGTATTCCAAATGAGGTCTCACCATTGATTTATATAGGGGCATTATTATATTGGCTGATCTGTTTTCAATACCCTTCCTAATAATCCCCAGCATAGCATTGGCCTTCTTTATTGCAGTCACACACTGTCTCGACATTTTCAGTGAGTTATCCACTACAACTCCAAGATCTCTCTCTTGCTCAGTCTCTGCCAGTTCAGACCCCATCAATGTGTATTTATATTTAGGATTTTTGGCTCCAATGTGCATCACCTTGCACTTGGCCACATTGAACCCCATTTGCCATGTTGACGCCCACTCGCCCATCCTTGACAGATCCCCTTGGAGTGCCTCACAATCCTCACTGGTTTTCACCACCCTGAACAACTTTGTATCATCCGCAAATTTAGCCACTTCACTGCTTACTCCCATCTCCAAATCATTAATGAACAAGTTAAAAAGCAGTGGACCAAGTACTGATCCCTGCGGTACCCCACTGCTTACCACCCTCCACTGAGAAAATTGCCCACCTACACTCACTCTCTGTTTTCTATGAACTAGCCAGTTTTTGATCCATAAAAGGACTTGTCCTTCTATCCCATGATTTTTGAGCTTACTTAGGAGCCTTTGATGAGGAACTTTATCAAAAGCTTTCTGGAAGTCAAGGTAAATAATATCTATTGGATCCCCCTTGTCCACATGTTTGTTCACCCCCTCAAAGAACACTAACAGGTTAGTGAGACAAGATCTTCCCTTACAGAAACCGTGCTGAGTCTGCCTCAATAGGTTTTGTTCATCTATGTGCCTACTAATTCTTTCCTTAATAATGGTTTCCACCAATTTACCCGGTATCGACGTCAGACTGACTGGCCTGTAATTTCCCGGATCTCCTCTGGAACCCTTTTTAAAGATGGGAGTGACATTAGCTACCTTCCAATCCTCAGGAATGGAGGCAGATTTTAAGGAAATATTACATATCTTTGTCATGAGATCTACAAGTTCACATTTGAGTTCTTTCAGAACTCTCGGATGTATGCCATCTGGGCCTGGTGATTTTTCAGTTTTTAAGTTGTCTATCAGTTTTAGGACCTCCTCTCTCGTCACCTCAATCTGACTCAGGTCTTCCAACACCCCTCCTGAAATCAGTGGTTCTGGAGTGGGCAAGCACTTCTCATCTTCCACAGTGAAGACGGAGGCAAAAAATGCATTTAGCTTCTCAGCCATTTCCCTATTATCTTTCAATACTCCTTTTACCCCTTGGTCGTCCAAGGGCCCCACTGCCTCCCTGGCTGGTTTCCTGTTTCTAATGTATTTGAAGAAAGTTTTATTGTTGGTTTTTACGTTTTTTGCTATATGCTCCTCATATTCCCTTTTTGCCTGCCTGACCTCAGACTTGCATTTTATTTGCCATAGCCTGTGTTCCGTTTTATCAGCCTCACTGTGACTAGCTTTCCACTGCTTAAAGGAATTCTTTTTACTTTTTACAGCCTCCATTACTCTGTTTGTTAACCATGCAGGCTTTTTCCTATACCTGTTTGTGCCTTTCGAAGTCTATTCGTCTATTCGAAGTAAGAAATAGCAAGTAGATAAATAGGTACCACTTCGGTGGGAAGGTAACAGCATTACGTGCGCCTCAGTGTTTAGTCACACTGGCCACATGTCCAGGGAAATGTCTTTGGACAGTGCTGGCTCTTCAGCTTGGAAATAGAGATGAGCACCGCCCCCTAGGGTTGGATTTCACTAGTTTTTGAGCAATGGAAACCTTTACCTTTTACTAATAATTGCTGCAGTCTTTGATGTCTCCTTTTTTGGAATTGGAGTGTAAATTGAGCATTTCTGGTCTGTGGGCCATTGCTTTGTTTTCTATATTTGTTGGCATATTCTGGTTGAGATATTCATGGACTCCATTTCTGTGGCTTGGAATAGCTCTATTTTTAATTTGGGGGGTTTTGGGGGGGGTATTTTTCATATGCTTGTGAGTGTGTGTGTGCACGTGTGAGTGTGTGTGCATGGCAACCTCTGGTGACTGACCCCTGTTGGGGGCCTGGAGGATATTCAGAGAGGTGGCTGAATGAAGCCTGCCCCCGCCTCTGGTATTTCAAGAAGGTTTCCCATCCAAGTACTTGCCAGAGTCGATCCTGCTTAGCTTCCGAGATCTGATGTGATCGGGCTTTCTTGGGCTATCCAGGTCAGGGCAGAACAGCTCTATTGATATCCTGTTGATTTTATCTCTTGTTCTTCCTTTTTATTGTTCTCATCTAATTCTTTACACTGGAACACTGTGTTTAGTTTTCTGATTGTCCTTCTGTCACCTTTTACTTTTGCTTCTCATTTATCCTTAGCCATTTTAAGAGTTTCATCAGAGTTCCATCGAGGCTTTTCATTTTCTTGGGCTACAGGAATAGTCTTTGTGCATTCTTCCTTGGTAATTGTTGGCGGAATTAAAAGCCCAGGAGCTTTTCCTAGGAATCCCATCCACACCCGGCTTGATGGGTGGCGGGGGGGTTGAAGCAGGAACTCCATATTTTGAGAGAGAGGGGGAAAAAAGCTTATTTCAAAGTTAAAACCATTTAATGAAAGAAAACCATACTGCACAAATTTTCCAGCAAGTAGCAATTTCAGTATTCATCTTGCAGAAGGGAACAGACAAACCAATTCTTATAAACAAACAGTGCACTTATTAGTCATTTAGGAATTATTATCTATTTAGGAATGCATTCTGGCTGCTCTGGCAAGACCTAACCACAGTGTTGGCAGAGGACCCTTATCTCGAACACTGGTGTTAAATACCTTTAGAATCCAAATTAGCTGTCAATCCAGAAACTGAATGGTCCTGACAAAACCCAGACCCCTCTCTTTTCTGACCAGCAGACTCTGACCGGAATCATTGTATTAAAAACACCCTCCCTTGTCAAGGCAGGAGCTTGGAGCCACAGGTCCTCATATTTAGATTTTTTGGCTTTGAGGCTGGAACTTAGAAATGTATACAGTTCTTTTAGAGCAGAGTGCATTGTTGGGCTAGAGCAAGGCTTGAGAGGTGACAATAGAACTGCCCCGTCCTGCTTATAATTCTGCCACAGTAATATTTCTGATTTCAACCCATAGTTAAGAACATAAGAGAAGCCAATGTTGGATCAAGCTAATGGCCCATCCAGTCCAACACTCTGTCACACAGTGGCCAAAAATACCAGGTGCCATCAGTAGGTCCATCAGTGGGGCCAGGACACTAGAAGACCTTCCACTGCTCCCCCCAAGCACCAAGAATACAGTGAATCACTTGCCCCAGACTGAAAGTTCCTATCTATACCTTGTGGCTAATACTCACTGATGGACCTCTTCTGGTTTACTTGAACTTAGTAATGCACATCTTTTCATGGTCTTTAAACTCTCCAGGAATGTTGTTTAACTTATATTTTGTTGCTATGATTGTTAATTTTCAATATTAACAATTCATTGTCTGTACCACAATCAGTTCCTGGTCTTGTTTTAGCAGAGATAATACAACTTCAGATTATTTAGTCTATTTGATTTCTGTATTGACCATCCAGTGATGACCACATATTCAGTAGTCTGTTCGGATGCCTGAAATGTGTTTGCAATATGCAATTTATTGTCTTCACAGAATTCTGTGTTTCCTACTTTTGCATCCTAGTCACCTGTGGTTATCCGCATATCTTCTTTGGGTGCGTTATCAGTTTCTTCCTGGACACACATAAAAGCTTTCAATTCCTTCCTCATCAGCATTTGTAGTTGAGGCATAAACTTGAATGATGATTATATTGATAGGCTTAACTTACTAGTACCAGGGTTTATGAAACACAGCCTTATAAAGTGATTCTTCTCCTGTATGTTTGAGCACAGTTGGAGGCAAGTCTTTGGAGAACTTCTTCACTGATTTTTTTCTGTATGCTGTGTGTATTGTTCAGCCAGTTTGGTGTAGTGGTTAAATGCGCGGTCTCTAATCTGGGAGAACCGGGTTTGATTCCCCACTCCTCCACTTGCACCTGCTGATGTGACCTTGGGTCAGTCACAAGCTCTGGCACAGCTGTCCTCGAAAAAGAGCAGTTTGTGTCAGAGTTCTCTCAGCCCCACCCACCTCACAGGGTGTCTGTTGTGGGGAGGGGAAGGAAAAGGAGTTTGTAAACCGCTCTGAGACTCCAAGTGAAGGGCGGGGTATAAATCCAATCTCTTCTTCTTCTTCTTCAAGAGCTTTTGAACAGCATTCTTGTTATATCTCACTTAGTGTCTTTTTTATACCAAGGTTCATAAGTGGCAGCAGAGATGGAACAGCCAGGATATGGCAATTCCAGCAAGCTGAATGGAAGAGCATTTTGTTGGACATGTCTGACAAATTACCTAGGTAGGTACAGGATGTTTCATTTGTGTGTAGCATTGACAGTAAGTGACATACATGCTTCATCTTTGTAGGCTGTAGAAACTTCTTTAGTATTATGGGCAAATGAAAGGCCATTTTGAAGAAATGTGTACAGGGTTGCATGACTGATTAGTTTGCTGAAATTGTTTTGCTTTGTTTAAAACAGTGATTTGTGTTCAGAAGAAGAGAAATTTATGAAGCCAAAGGTGACCATGATAGCTTGGAGTCAAAATGATAAGTTGGTGGTTACTGCTGTGAACAACCATCTGCTCAAAGTATGGAATTCTTATACTGGGCAGCTGCTTCATGATCTCACGGTATGTAATGGTTACTGTTTTCTTGAAAGTGTTTTTCAGAAAGTGCTATTTAATGTATACAAATTGATCAGGTTGTTTCCATGTGTTACACAATGTTATATTCAACATATAGTCATTTAAATTAGAATTCCATCTCCCTTTAACACTGTAATATTGTTTTTGCATCTTCTCTTGTGTTCAAAAAGGGTCATACAGATGAAGTATTTGTTTTGGAACCACACCCATTTGATTCCAAGATCATGCTTTCTGCAGGACATGATGGCAATATTTTTATTTGGGATATAACAAAAGGCATCCAAATGAAACATTATTTTAATATGGTAAGTATAATTGACTTGAAACCTCTCTTCCTCCAGTGGTTGGTCTCATTTTCCTCTCATGTTCAGTACCTTATTTATCAACTTGTTTGAACTTACTGTAATCAGAAAGAAACTACCAGACTACTTGTTCTACAAAGTAATGAGTTGGATCTACTTGAAATGTTCATAGAAGGAGTTAGTGGAGTAGATCTTTCTCATTTCGCAAACAGCCTGCCATTTGTCCTGAGATGCTTTCTGAGGATCAGAAGGGCCTCACAAACAAAATGCACTGCAGGACTTGACAAATGGTCTTTGACCGTAAATAAACATCATTTGCTACAGGACGGTGCTGTAGCAATGACGGGACTTGAATAAAATCACCTCTTTAACCTTCTGCACTTGGCTTGCATCAGTGGTAGGGGCATTTTTTACTTGCTTTCCCTTCATTGCTGTAGGGCCCATCCTGTGTAGCGTTTTGCTTGTGAGGCTGTCCAAATCCTTGTAGAAGATTCTGGAACAAACAGTAGATTGCTAGGGGAAAGTGGAGAAAGATCTGCTCTGCAAACTCCTTCCATTAACTCTTCTGCTTGATCCAACCCAGTAGATTCATCAGATTTTCATAGGCTTATTTGTGCAAAATGTCATTTAAACAGGTGCCTCATTTATTCTTGTCTTCCAATTGATGTCACTTTACCTATTGTTATTTCTGTGTGCAGACAAAATTATAGAATTGTTCTTAATATAATGGAAGGCCAGTGGTATAAACTGAAATAAGAGGCAATTGTTAACTCATAGCGTAATACATTGGCAAGGATGTACAGGGAATACTTGTTGAGTTTTAGAATGTTTACAAAATATTATGGGCTTTTTTTAAACGCAGATTGAAGGACAAGGACATGGTGCTGTATTTGATTGCAAGTTTTCATCAGATGGGCAGCACTTTGCCTGTACAGATTCTCATGGACACCTCTTGATATTTGGCTTTGGTTGCAGCAAACCTTATGAAAAGGTATTCTTAACTTTCCATTTAATACATCAGCACTTTATTGCCAATAAAATTAGCACCAGTAATAAACACCTTTAAAATGAAATACGTTTCTTCCCAAAGCATCATGTATACTTTAGTTGATCTGTAAACTGAGACGGACTTTAATTGACTGAAGCTGAAGGATAGACACTTTGTTTTCCTTAAGGCATTTTTATTCAGGTGTGTTGCTGTAATTGATACTTTCATACTCAATTTTGGACAGTTCTTCTTAAAATTATATGCTATTGTTTTAACTTGGCACCTTGTGCCCCTGTTAGCCGCCCTGAGCCTTCGGGGTAGGGCGGGATTTAAATGTAAATATAAATAAATAAATAAAACTGGTAGGGTTTTTATGCATGATCTCTCACACCTTCAAGTGATATATATATATAAAGGCTTTTGTGATAAGCCATATTTAAATTAATGTGTAAATTGAACAGGGTTGTGTGTGTGTGTGTGTATATAATTACATTTATGAATCGCCCAATCCCTAGTGTTGTAGGGCTCTGGGCAATGTACAACACGGTAAAAAAAAATTAAAACTATGAAATGAAAACAAACAGTATTAGTGTTAATACATTAATTTTAAAAAATCAAGTGGTGAAAATTACAGTTTTCTCCAATTTCTGGACTGTGATCGTCTTGTGGGTGTGGGGGAGGAATTAAATTAGTCTGAGTAGAAGGAGAATAAAAGGAGGAGGAGGGGGTGCCAGCAAAGATGTAAACCATCGCCACCCTCAACCAAAACCCTGGTGGAACATCTCTGCCTTACAGGCCCTACAGATTGCATAAGATCTCGCAGTGCCCTGGTGGTATTTGGCAGACAGTTCCACCAGGTTGGGGCCTGGACTGAAGAGGCCCTTGCCCTGGTCAAGGACAGCTGGATGTCTTTAGGGTCAGGGATCACCATACACACACACACACACACACACACACACACACACACACACACACACACACATTGCAGCAGAAATATTCTGTAGAAAATTTTGTTCATGAAAAATGTTGCTATTCATAGTTGTTGAAGGTAAATGTAGGTTAATAAGTTTTTAAGTCTTTTATTAGTTGATTATATGCAAGCTTCATTTCTTTCTAGATTCCTGATCAGATGTTCTTCCACACTGATTACCGACCACTGATTCGAGATTCTAACAATTATGTCCTAGATGAGCAGACTCAACAGGCTCCTCATCTCATGCCCCCTCCATTCTTGGTTGATGTGGATGGAAACCCTCATCCAACAAAATACCAGCGGTTGGTACTTGGACGAGAGAATTGTGCAGATGAGCATCTGATTCCTCAACTGGGATATGTAGCAACAAGTACGAGTGGCAGTTTTCAACCTCTGGCTCTTACTCTCACTTTGGTATCATTAAAACACAATGGAATGCTAGAATTATAGTAATTCATAGCTTAGTTTAAAGTAGTAGGGTCATCTTAGGCTTGTATGGTTGGAGTGTTATGACTAGCTGCTTTAATACAAACATACACTGGACACCATTTTTGCTCTGCAACTTACTGACTGACAGTGTTCATTAATGCTGAATTCAGCTCAGGGTTGTTGTTTTTTTAAACAAACATGTTCTCAAAGCAGGCAATCATTGTTATGAACTGAGATTTGAAATGGTGCCCAGTATATTCTTTGTTTCTGTTTCCATATCCAGTCCAGGCTGTTCTAAGAACAAAAAGCTGTTAGAGGAGTGGATGTAAAAATAGTTTAAAGGAGGACTCAGGGGTTCCTTTTACATTTCCTTGTGCACTTAAACCTCTAAACTACGTTTTGAACTTGGGCATTTAAGGAGGACATTTTCTAAAAGGAATGCTTAAGGGGGAAAAAATAGTTGTGTGAATCTTTTGATCCTGGCTATGGCTATTAATGATATCTGTTCTGTGTCTATAAAATGAACTAATTACTCAATTTACAGGAGAGTTATTAGAGCAGTGATACTCACCCAAGAGCTACATGACTACTATATACTCTGTGTACCACCCCAGACACACACATGCATTAATATAAGGTAGAAGTATTAAATATATAAGTATAAATATATTTAATACTCAGTCTGGCCCCATATGTGGATACTTAAATCCAGATATTAGGGTCATTGACAAGCAAGACACATCTTTTGCAAATCTGAGGAAAGCCTCAGGCTTGCAGAAAAGTTTCAGATCTAAAATACGTGTGTGTGTATGCACACAAACACACGCCCGGAGGGGGGGGCTAAACACATCCAGAATGCTGAAAGAAATGCCTATAGTTTTAAGAAATGGTTGCCCTCAGTAACCATTGTAAGGCAACCATAACAGTATGCCAGCATTCAAGCCTTGGTTTCTGTCAAGAAAATGGGAGTAGGGGTAGGGCTGGTTCCTTTCCAGGGATGTTTTGGCTTTTGAGGGAAGACTCATTGGGGCATAGCCCAGCAGCAACCAACAGGCAGCTTTCTAGCATGCAACTTTCATGACTCACACAGGCCTGACTGCTTGTTACTATTAAACAGCATCTACCCTTCAAAAGCCATTATAGTGTAGTGCTTAGAGCTTCAGACTAGGATCTGGGAGATCCAAGTTTGAATCCTCACTCAACTATGGACTTTGGGCCAGTTTGGTGTAGTGGTTAAGTACGCGGACTCTAATCAGGGAGAACCGGGTTTGATTCCCCACTCCTCCACTTGCACCTGGCTGGATGACCTTGGACAAGCCATAGTTCTGATAAGAGCTGTCCTTGAAAAAGAGCAGTTTCTCTCTCAGCCCCACCTACCTCACAGGGTGTCTGTTGTGGGGAGGGGAAGGGAAAGGAGTTTGTAAGCCACTCTGAGACACCTTTGGGTAGTGAAGGGCGGGGCATAAATCCAATCTCCTCCTCTTCTTCTTCTTCTCCTCCCCCTCCTCCTCCTCCCCCTTCCTCCTCCCCCCTCCTTCCTCCTTCTCTCAGCCTAACCTACCTGATAGGGTTGTTGTAAGGATAAAAAGGAGTGTTCTTATTGTGGAGGAAGGTGAGATATAAACGAAGTAAGTAAATACTAAATATAGTTAGTGGGTGGGAAGGAGAGAAGGAAGCAGGGAAAGGTAAGGATATGGGGTTGCCAAGAGGAGGAAAAGAGAAAATAGAGAGATTGGATTTATACCCCGCCCTTCACTACCTGAAGGAGTCTCAGAGCGGTTTACAATATCCTTCTCCTCCCCACAACAGTCACCCTGTGAGGTAGGTGGGGCTGAGAAAGCTCTTTTGAGAACTGCTCGTGAGACAACAGCTCTAAAAGAACTTGTGACTGACCCAAGGTCACACCAGCAGCTGCATGTGGAGGAGTGGGGAATCAAACCCAGTTCTAGATTAGGATCTGTGCTCCTAACCACTACACCAAAACTGGCTTTGTGGAAACAGGGATCCCTGGGAAAGTAAGGTATTCCCCACAAGTCATGGTCTCCCTAAAGGACAACTGGGCTTGCAGCTAGTTCCAGATGGTCAGCCGTGTTGTTCTGAAACAGTAGAACAAATTTAGAGCTAGCAGGTGGCACTGTGCCATGTGGTTGGAGTTCTCCCAGAGAGGGGCTGTCAGGGGGATGGGGAAACTGAAGATGAGGGCAGATAAAATGTAGGTTGGCTGGTGGGTGGGAAGGAGAGACAGAAGCAGGAAAGGAAGAGAAGCTTTGGAAGCTTTCAAGGAAGAAACAGGAAATAGCGGGGGAGTGGAAAATAAGATGCCTTTGCAAGTCCTTGGGGGTCCTTCGCTTGTAACCTTTCTGATTGCCAGAGTACCTCTGAGCATGTAGGGATGGTCTCTCCCAACCACAGTTGAACCTTATCCGGCCCTTGTGTACCTGGGGTGATGGGGAAGGCTTCCCTCTCTGTCTTCTTGCTTCCTGCTCAACTCAGCCCCATAGCCAGGAATTTTTTTCAGGGGTGCGCCAATTAAATTAAATTAAAATTAAATTACATTTAAATTAAATCAAAGGGGAGGGAGTGGGGGGAGGAGAGGCCGGCATGGCAAGCTCTTCCATCCACTGTGCCTGCATGAACCTTTTCCAGCTCACTGCCGGTAGGGGCAAGAAGAAGTGTGGAAGGCAGGGCAAGGCAGCACCTCAGCATGGAGCTCCATCTCCAGGATGCTGGGCTGCTCTGGAAGAAGGGAGGACCCCCCCAGCTGATCCGAGCGGGTGGCCCTTTGCAAGGGAAGCAGGCAAATCCCCTGAAGAAGGCCAAAAGAGAGTATGTACTTTTTCTCCCCTTCCCCCGGAAGGAGCATTTGCAGAAAGGGGAAGGGAAAAGACAAGTTTTTTGCAGCTTCCCTGGCTGGATGAGAAGGGGAGATTGGGGTGGCATTGAAAATTTGATAGGGGGCGCTGCCTATCAGCCTGGCTTAGTTGTAGACGAGGTTGGGGGGTTTCCTGGAAGGATTGCCCTTTGCTTCCATCTGTGGCACAAAGCCCACGTTTTAGGGAGGCGTGCAGTTTATCTGTCCTTCAGTCCCTGTGTTTGTTTCATGGTTGAAATCATCTGGTGAACACAAGCCCTACTGGGTAGTGGCTGTTCACACTTTCCTGGCATGTAGGGTGGGTGACATAATGGAACGCAGTGCTTAGAAGAGCCACAGGTGGCATGTTGAGCCATATTTGGCTCCAGAGCCACTGAGTATCACTGTATTACAGCAAACAAAAAGACTGTAAAGCATGTACATTAAATGCTGTATGTGGTAGTAATACACTATTGGCCGTTTGTGGTGAGATTTAGATCAAGATGCTAAATACGTTCCAAAATTCTGAGTTAGTAAATGAGCTTGTTCTGCATTTATATTTGCAAGGTGATGGAGAGGTGGTGGAGCAGGTAATAGGCCAACAAACTGCTGATCAGGATGAGCAAGGTCTAGAGCCTAGCCTACTTGATGGCATGATCAGACAGTTACAAATGCTACAAGACCAAAGAAATGGCACAGATCAAGACATCCTTCCACCTGGGCCACAGAATGGAGAAGAAACGCCTAGAAGAGGTCAGTGTTTATTTCTAAAAGAGGGGGGAAATGTTAACCTATATTTTTAGCTCTTTAGAAAGTCATTGTGGTGTTAGTTTAGGCTAGGATCTGAGATGCTCAGGATCTTCTTTGTGATCTCTGTGCATCACACCTCTGGGATATAGTGCGCCTGCGCCGACTTGATTGGTTCCTCTTGAAAGCAAAAGGGATTTTCGCACCCGCTCTCCAGTCATGCACCAGCCCCACTGCACATGACCAAGGGAGGGGCACGACAATCCCGCCAGTTCTCCCTCTGAGTTGGAGGACATCCTGTGTGGGTGATTCCCGTCCATCATTCAGGGAGGCAGGACTTACAAAAGAACTTCCTGTTTCCTGTGGCGGGAGTCACCCTTTCCTCAGTTCTTTTCCTGCCTCAAGAGGGAGAGCAGCGTGTTAGGCTTTGCCAAACCTTTTTATCTTTATCTTCTACTAAGCTAATCTTTACAAACCAAGGGAGGGGCACGACAATCCCTCCAGTTCTCTTCTGACCGCCACGTTGGTAGGATCTTCTCCAGTTCTGTCGGTAAAAAATCTGGGCTTTTAGGCCTATTCCTCGTTTTTCTTCAAAGTTTCTTTGTTCTTGTTTATTTTTGTTAAGTGAAAGGACTTTGTTTCTAGGGATTTATTTCCTTTTGGACTCGGTCGTGTCCCCCCCCCACTCCTGGCCTATGGCCAAGAGGTGGGGTTTCTTTAAACGGTGCCTTAAGTGCGGCAGCAAGATCGCCCCAAAACTCCCCCCCCCCCCCCCAGATGGACAGTCACGTTGTCTTTTGTGCCTCAGGGAATTGCACCGAGTGAACTCTTGTGCTCATTGCACGACGTTTTCGAAGCAGACAAGGAAGAACAGAGCTGATAGACTTTGCATTGCGCTTTTGGAGCTAGCACTTTCACCAATGTCGTTACAGGACACTTCAGGGCTTGCGTCAATGTCAACTGCTGACACGGCGTCGACGGCTGCACTGTCCCTGATATCGACTCACATAGATGTCGACTGCCCAATGCTGAAATGCTCGGCCCAGACATCTCAGTCCTTAACCCATACTCCCTCCAAAAAATGCAGGGAAGGCAAGGATGATCAGCCAGTCAAGCATAAAAAGGATAAGAAAACTCCCCCTACGCAATCTCCACTGACCCCTCGGAGGGTCTCAGAACCGAATCCTATGAGGGCTGCTTCCCTTGACTTTTCGAGCCAAGAGCAGCCACAAGGTGTACCTCCGTCACCTTCGCTGTGTCCTATCCAGCTCACTGACTCTGAGCACGATATGGACTTGACACAGATCTCCCGGTCTTCCAGTTTCAAAAGTCTGCACTCAGACTGCGGAGCCAATGCGTTTGTCCGCCCTTCACAGCTCTGTCCTGGTGATCGAGACCGACCATCAGCACCAATCCACCCACCACCGCCGCCCTCTTGGGACCAACGGCAGTGGCAATACATGTATGGGGCCTATCCATTTACAGATAGTATGCCGTGGTTCCCACCCCAACCAGTGGAGTGGGACCGTCAGTCCACCTCTTCACGTATCTCCCAGTATCGAGATCCTCCATCGATGCCGGAGTTCGTGAGGCCGCAACTGTTGAAACCGACGGGCAAACCTTCCAAGCTGTCGCACCCGACAGTTCCATACAAATGCTACCTATGTCCTTTTCTGAGCCGTCTGAGCACTCCGTCTCTTCAGATGCTTTTTCCTAATCGGGACGAAAACCCCGATCCTCCGGTGGAACCCTTGCCACCTCAACAGGTGGGCGATGATCTTCCAATCTCCCCTTCGGAAGACTTGAAATCTTACGGAGATTTCATCAAGCGGATGGCTAACACGCTCACTCAGTACAGCCCCTGCCTACTGTGACAGACTCCGTGTTTGATATCGTCCAGATGGACACTTCTACACCTATTGCCTTACCGATGACTTCAGTCCTCCTTCAGTCAGCTAAAGTCCCATGGTCTCACTTGGCATCTACACCCGTCTCGAGCCAGAGGGTAGATCATATGTATAAAGTGCAGGAGCAGAGTGCTGAACTTCTGTTTACCCACCCTAAACCTAATTCTGTCGTAGTCACTTCTTCCTCCAAGGGCAGACACAGTCATTCCACCCCCTCTGAGAAAGAAGGAAGGAAACTTGATTCATTTGGAAGAAAATTTTATTCTGCGGGAGCTCTTGGCATCAAGACCTCAAACTATACAGCATGTATGGGGAGATATCAGTTTGCTCTTCGGGAGCAGATGTCTGAATTTATTGCAACCCTCCCTGAGGACACTAACTGCCAGGCTCACAGGATTCAGAGGGAATGCTTTTGGCTAAGCATCAGCTCAGTGCCGCTAAGCACACATTGGATGCGGCTGCCAAAACGCTGTCTTCAGCAGTTACCCTCCGACATCACGCATGGTTGCGTTCTACTGCCCTACCACAGGACACCAGGACTCTCATTGAGGACCTTCCATTTGAAGGTGAGGGCCTTTTCAGTGCCACAACTGATACGGTCCTGCAAGACCTAGACAAAAGTATAAAGACGTCGTGGAGTTTAGGAGTCAAGTCAGCTCCTAAACTATCCAAAACTAAATCCTGGAACAAGTCATGGTCTCGCAGATCCTCTCTTAAGTCATCCCCGGAAACACAGTGGCAATGCTCACCCACTGTGTCTTCCCGCCCTTATGGGCACAAACCAAAATTCTCATCCGTCTTTTAGCCTAAGGCTAAGACTCCGAAAGCTTCCAAGCAGAGCCTTTGACTCCTGTCGTCCCACCCCTACCTCCCTGTCTCCCTACTTGGCTGCTTGGCAGCGAATAACATCAGACCGGTGGGTATTGTCTGTCATCGAAAAGGGGTACCTCATAGAATTTATCCAGGTACCTGAGGCCCCCAAATTCATAATTACTCCACCATCAGGTATGCTCCTGGAAGAAATCCAGAACCTTCTTCAAAAGGACACTATCGAACCAGTCCTGACTGCAAAGCTACTCCCATTATTTTACGGTCCCCCCAAAAGATGGAGGACTCCATCCTATTATGGACCTCAGGGGACTCAACCAGTTTATTTTCTATCGGAATTTCCGAATGATAACGTTACAAAGCATTCTCCCCCTTCTCAGTGAAGGTGTCTGGATGGTAACCCTGGACTTGCAAGACGCATATTTTCATATAACAATCCACCCATCTCACAGGAAGTTTTTTGCATTTTGCAGTCGCAGAAGGCCATTTTCAGTACAAAACCCTTCCTTTTGGACTCTCAGCAGTGCCCGGAGTCTTTACAAAAATGATGATTGTCATCGCGGCGTACCTCCGTCTCCAGAGTGTACGGATCTTTCCGTACATAGATGATTGGTTGCTGGTAGCAAGCTCTAGAGAGACTCTGCTCAACCATATCGATTTAACACTGGTCACCTAGATGTGTTGGACCTGAGGGTGAACCTGAAAAAGTCAATGCTCCTTCCTTCATTGAGAGTCCAGTTTATCGGAGCAGTTTTGGATTTGACTGTCTGCCGAGCCTTTCTCCCTCCCAAAAGGGCGGGAGACATTATCGCTCTCATCAACCTGATAAAAACACAGGGAGATGCATCAGCAAAGCAGATTCAACGGCTCTTGGGTCTGATGGCCTCCACCACAGCGGTACTTGTCTTCACCAGACTACAGATGAGACCACTTCAGCTGTGGTTCCTCAAACGCTTCCATCCACAGTCGCAGCCCCAGTGTCAACGGTTCGTGCTACCTGTGCAAGTGCTGAATTCCCTACAGTGGTGGGAAACTCCAGACAACCTCCTTCAGGGAGCCCCATTTCTTGCACCCAGCCCCGAAATGACCCTAACCACGGATGCATCCCTGTGGGGATGGGGGGCTCACTTCCAAGGTGTATGTGTGGGTGCCAAATGGGAACTGCACGTGGCCCACAAACACATCAACTTCCTGGAACTGCTCGCCATCTAGTATGCCCTAATAAGGTCCTTTCGCCACCTCGTGACTCACCATACGGTGGCAATCCTGACAGACAACACCACCGCACTGTGTTACCTGAACAGGCAAGGCGGGACAGTGTCCAGGGGACTCTGTCGACTGGCCCGGGAGATTTGGACCGAGTGTCAATCCCAGAGCATGTTCATCATTGCTGCTCACCTGCCAGGATCGCTCGATGTGTATGCGGACTTTCTGAGCAGGGGAGGCACATCCCTCCATGAGTGGAAGCTTGACTGGGCTTACCTCCAACCAATTTTCCACAGATGGGGTCACCCAGAAATTGATGTGTTTGCGACGCGTCAGAACATGAAGTGTTGTCTGTTCTGAACCAGGGCGGGACAGGACCCTCTGTCTTTGGGGAACGGCCTTATGTACCCATGGACCCACAGGCACATATCCCTGTTCCCACCAATTCCTCTACTAACCAGAGTGCTGCGCAAGATCATGAAGGAACAACCTCAATGTATCTTCGTGGCATCATGGCGGCCACGTCAGCACTGGTTCCCGACTCTGCTCCACATGTCCCGGGGCACATACATACATCTCCCCCCGGCACCAGATCTCCTCCTGGCTCAGGAGGGCCGAGTGCTTCACCACGATGTACCACACCTCAAACTCATGGCGTGGAGAATCCCTTAGCACAGCTCAGAAACAGGATAGACCTTGTTCTGTTGAACTGTCGGAAGCCAGCAACACGTGCTTCCTATGAAGGAAAGTGGAAGAAATTCCTGTCATACCTCGAGTCGTTGGGTTTACCACCGCCCCCTACGAACTTGAGGATAGTTTTCGGATTCTTGTTGACCTGCCTGGACTTGGGTCTTAGTTGCTCTTCTTTAAGGATCTACTTAGCTGCCATTTCCGCCTATCATCCTGCGGTGGATGGCTATTCCGTTTTTTCTCACCCGCAAACGAAGCAGTTTCTGAAGGGCCTCACTCGCCTCTTTCCTCTGACTCATGGGCTGACTCCTTCCTGGACTTATCTCTAGTACTGTCCAGATTAACGGGCAAACCGTTTGAGCCCATGGCCACGTCTAGCCTGCAGCTTCTCTTGTGGAAGACTGCCTTCCTAGTAGCCATTACTTCAGCAAGATGAGTGAGTGAATTGTCTGCACTCCGTTGCGATTCTCTGTATTTGGTTTTTCACCATGATGGTGTCACCTTGGCCCCAGATGTCTCTTTCCTACCCAAGGTTGTTTCTGAGTTCCATTTGTGAGCGGACATTGCTCTTCTGACGTTTTTCCCGTCCCCTACGAGCGACGAGAAACGCCGTCTTCATACTCTAGACATCAAGAGAGCCATACTCTTCTACCTCAATAGGACAAGGTCATTCCTTCAGTCATAGGCCTTGTTCGTCTCCTATAGCACACCTGTGCAGGGGAAGAAGCTTTCTTCTCAATGTCTATCCAAGTGAATTGTGGAAACCATCAAACTGTGCTACTTACTGGCCAAACGGCCACTTCCAGGCTCGCTTTGAGTGCATTCCACCCGGGCAGTAGCCACGTCCACAGCCTTCCTGAGAGGTTCGTCACTCACTGACATCTGTCAAGCAGCAACCTGGGCTACCTCCCACATGTTCGTGAAGCATTACGCCCTGGATGTGCATCTTCATCAACGTTCCATGGTGGGAGGGGCAGTGTTGCAGGCGGCACAAGTCTAGGACCTTCAACTCCCTCCTCCAGGTAGGCCTGTTTTTGCTTGCTAATCTCCCAGAGGTGTGATGCACAGAGACCACGAAGAAGATAAACAGGTTGCTTACCTGTAACTGATGATCTTTGAGTGGTCATCTGTGCATTCACACCACCCGTCCTCCTTCCCCTCTGCTTTCGGTCCTCTCCTTTTTTATTACTCTGAGACTGATGGTAGCAGTCAAAAGAAACTGGTGGGATTGTCGTGCCCCTCCCTTAGTCATGTGCAGTGGCGCTGGCGTGTGACTGGGGAGCGGGCGCAAAAATCCCTTTAGCTTTCAAGAGGAACCAATTGAGGTGAGCGCAGGCGCACTATATCCCAGAGGTGTGAATGCACAGATGACCACTCAAAGATCATCAGTTACAGGTAAGCAACCTGTTTTTCACACATCCCCACTTGCCATGGACTCTCAGTAGATGATGTTGGGCCACTCACACACACTCAACCTAATCTATCTCGCAGTGGGATTGTTAGAATAAAATACAGAAGGGAAGAATGATGTTGTGAGCTTTTTGGCTTCCCAAAGGGAGAAAATACATGAATACGGTATTGTTTCCTAACAGGGAAACATTGTGTGTGCTGGAGTGTTTTAATGTGACTTAGGTACTGTATAACTTAGAGTATATAAAAGCTTGTTACCTTACCATTTAGTATCCCAAAAACTTCCCCTCACTTTTATGGGAAAAACAAACAAACCAGTTTTGGGATGTAGATCTGAAGGCCACTTTGCTCACTTTTATGGAACAGAAGTACATAGGTAGCATCCTAAGTTCATGAAGTCTAATGTTTGGCAAACATTACTATATAGGTAGAATGTTTGGGGAAGAAAAAAGCATGATACAGATATTACAGAAAATTAAACTTGTTAGAACATACGGATGGATCATATAAGCTTTCTGCCCGCACAAGAGTGAAGTGGCAGTTTCACCCGATTCCTCTTCTTTACTTCAGCCCATCATGCCATATAGCGTGTTGTCCATAAGACTCCCCCAGTATTGGCCTTTCTGAGTGTGTGTGTGTGTTGGGAGTCCACCTAGAGGGGCTGCAGCTCAGTGGTAGATAGTCTGCTTGGCATGCAGAAAGTCCCAGGTTAAGTCTCTGGGATCTCAAGTGAAAAGATCTGGTAGCAAGTGATGTGAAAGATCTCTGACTGAGACCTTGGAGAGCCACTGCTAGTCTGAGCAGACAGTGCTGACATTGGTTCACCTCTGCAAGTGGAAAATCCATAGAATCAAATCTATAGAAAACTACTAGATCATCTAATTATGGTTTGAGTGGAATCCATCTGGTTTACTAGGTGTTTATGTAACCTTTCTGTGGTAAATGCCATATCTGCATGATTATGCCTATATTCTAGATTCATTTTTGTAAACATCCAGTTCCAGAAAGGTATGTTCATTTGCTTCAGCTGTAATAACAAAAAGTTAATGCCTCAATAAATGTGTTCATCTTTATGCTGCTGAAACACTCTTTAGAGAGAGAGTGTTGCATAGTGGTTAGAGTGCTGGACTAGGAACTTAGAGGCTTGGGTTCAGATCCCTGCTCTGATGTGGAAGCCTGCTGGGTGACTTTGGGCCAGTCACTCTCTCTGAACTTCACAGTGTTGTTCTAAGGATAAAAATGGAGGCGAGAACAGTGGAAGCTGCTTTGAGTTCCCATTGGGAAGAAAGTGGTGTATAAACAAAGTAAATTAATAATATTAAGAAACCTTCAGCAAAACCCACAGAGGGTTAAAAGTTGAGCCTGAAACTGGCTGTGCTGCTGTGTTTGTTTCACATAGTATATTGTATGGCTTTTACCTTCTGCCACTTAACTCAGTTTAAAATCTTTTTTCAGAGTTGTTGTTTATGCAAAATAAACGATTAACAAGTCAAAACATGCAGTTTTCTCACCACATCTTAAATGTTATGCACAATGAAATCCTTTGTGTTAGAAATTGAAAGAAAACCTTGAGACAGCCTCCCCTTGGTAAAGTTGGTGGGGGTGCTCTGATGGAGAGACTGAACATACAAAGTTTAATACTCTGCTTAATTATGGCAAGAGTTCCTAGAGTCCTGCAACTGTAATCTTGGATAGCACTTACAAAGTAGCCATGTTGTTATCTGTTACTAAAAAAAAATCACCAAGTGGAATGCCACTTTATTTCTGTTGTTGCACCTGAAACACTTATCCAGCAGTGATGAATCCAGGAAAGACAAGATGCTTAGTGATTGTTCATTTATTGTATATTTATCAAAATGTGTTCTAGTCTATCGGATGCTTAGCTCGGATATCCAGTCCCCACCTAATATTGGTTTGCGGCGTAGTGGGCAAGTTGAAGGTGTGCGCCAGATGCATCAGAATGCTCCAAGGAGTCAGATTGCCACAGAGAGAGATCTTCAGGCGTGGAGACGGAGAGTAGTTGTTCCAGAAGTAACATCAAGCATATTCAGGTGTGTAGGTCTACTGACATTAAAAAAATCTTGTTTTATTTCCAAATATTTATATTTTGTCTTTCTTCCTAAGAGCCCCAAATGACTGAAAGATAAAAAGATTTGCTCATTTGCCATTTCTCTTCTAAAATTGTTTCTTAAAACAACTTATGCATCAGAGACATTCTTGGACCACCATAAGCTTACTGATCTGGGCTGTTTGTTGCCACATTACCCTTCTTTGGCCTATCTCATAACTTCAGAATCACGCTCCTTGCACCCTTCATCTTCATAATATTACCTTTCTGGACAGAGACAATAACTTGTTGGACTTTTTGTATACCACTTAATTTTGTTTTATCCTGTCTTTCAGCCTGATAAGTTTTCAAAGAGGCTAAAATGCTAGTATCTAGGAATAACTGTAGCTGAACGTCACTAAGCCTAAATTTGAGGCATGTTATTTTTGTGTAGAGTGAAATTGGTAAATAGTTTTTTATCCTCTTCCAAGTATAAGATGGTGATAAATGATAAACTGTAAACTGTTAATATTCTACAACTGTGGTTGTGCATGCTGTCTGACAAATTTTCAAGTTTGGGGTTGCTTTTTTTTTTTTAGAAATCAAGAAGAATATAGGATTGCGAAAGGTGAAGAAGAGAAGTGGCTGTATACAACAGAACAAAAAAGGAAGTTACTTCAGTCTTCAGAAAAGGTGGGAAATACCTGCACTGTGCAGTTCTTCGTGATTGTAAATACCACGTAGAGCACATGCACAAGCTGTACTTCAAAGAAGTCACTTATTTGAATGTTTGAGAACTGCACACAACACTTGACTGGGATCAGATATACTGATGTTCTAGCTGTGTGCAAGTGCACAGATGTCTGCTTTACATATTTTAAGGGTTTCTTTAACCTGCAGCCTTAACAAATATTTGTATAGGTGAGTGTGTGTGTGAGAGAGAAAGTGTCCCTGGCTTGATATAAAGGTTCCATTCTGCAAACAGTGGAACCTTGCTCTAATTTAGGGAGTCTTCCACCAGTGCAAGGGAAAAAAGGATTCACTGCATAGAATGAAGGCTCCACTGTTAACAGAATGGAACCTTCTGATCCAGCTCTTGGAAGTCTTGATGAAAACATGAGTTTCTTCATCAGCAGAGAAGGAAATCCAGGCCAGCTTCCTCCTTGCATTTACTCCACAGAACCAGCTTTACCTTTATCCTTGGACCTCACAGTTCTAGTGTTGTTTGCTGTGCAGCTCTCTCTTATTTCTCTTCCACCATTCTTGACTCCTCTCCAATTCTTTTGTCTGGGCTTTACTTCAGAATGTTTGTAGCTAGCCCTTCCATTGTTCATACATTTTTGGCCAATGTTGCATGGTTTTATTTCACCAGCCACCTTACTCTGCCCATTAGGAATGGCCTTCTAGTATAAGCTTACCTCAGACATTGGCTGCCAACTTCATAGGAGAGATGTGGTTTGAATTACATCAGAGGCCTGGCTTGCTCCTTAAGCCATCCAAATCAGGGGTGGGCCAGAAAGACAAGTAGGACACTATTGGCTAAGCCTAAAACTTCAGGCACTCTGAAATGAACACCAAGGCACTGGACATTTTGAGGCAAGGTAAAATGTGCCCTCCTGCTGCCAGCTTACACATCTATGTTTTCCTTGAGCTGGAATAGAATGAGTCACCTGAAGTAACTGTGTTGTTGATAAAGATGGCATCTTGCTGGAACAGGTACTATTCCCTTGCACACCCACCCAGTTGCCCTGTCTAGTGATCAGGAGAGCTGCCATTACTATGACTATCAGAGGGCTAAGAAATGGAAAGTAAGCAGCCCTGCAGCATGACTACCGGTTTCCCTCCCCTCATAATGGACAACTTCTCTCTTTACCCAGATTTAGGTGGGAAAACAAAATGCATTTTGGTAACTTATTTTAGAACTCACTATTGCCACAAAAAGCATAAAAAACACAGATATGGCTATGAAGCCCTTCCTCCTTCCAGCTGTGCCCGAAGGGGCATGCAGAGCCAGTTGTTTTGGAACCAGCTCCCATTCCATTGACTCCAAGGGATGATATCCTACCCTTCTTGCTGTAACCAGAGACAATGCCATGATTAGAGGAGCTTTCAGAAATTTCTTCACCCTTGTCTGCAAAATTTGGGCCGTATTCAGATGGTTGCTTTTCCCAATAATCTCTCCTTTTTTGTATTTTGTGTGTGTATGTACTTGCGAGCCCAGAAGTCATGGTGACTTCTGGTGACCCCTAGTGGGGCTAGGACGTTTCAGAGAGGTGGCTTGATAATTATATGCCTCTGCGTCCCAGCCCTGGTATTCCTTGGAGGTCACCCTTCCAAGTACTTGCCAGGGTCAGCCCTGCTTAGCTTCCAAGATCGGACAAGATTGGTCTTGCCTGGACTGTCCAGGTTAGGGTGTTTGTCCCAATAATCTCATAAGCATTTTCCATATCAGGATTTTTGCCTTCTCTCTCAAAATCTGTGTAGGGTTTTACAATGGACTCTATAGGCATACAGTCCCAAGATATATGAGCAGCCTCTCTGTCCAAGAGGAACAGTATGGGCTCTGTCGAGCTATTTTATCAGTGTGCCATTCAGAACTCTCTAGGGGGGCTCATGGTTTGCTTCACAGAAAACTGGTACTGTTGTTCCAAAAGACAGAGATTCCTCACCATGACCAGATCTCTGGAATAATCACCTACCCCGGTTGTACTTTTATTGCAAAAGCTCAAAAGTTAGTGGCTCTGTCACTTTGTCGTTTTAAAATATTGTTCCTGGCAGTCTGGTGCATGATAGCATTTAGGTTTCATTTTTCTCTGCTACAAAAGTATTCTAAATGGCTCTTAGCTGCCCTTTTAAACATGTTAATGGATTACGCAAAATGATCTATGTAAGAAGGGGGAGTAACTCTGGTTGCTAGAACTTTTGCAATGGATAGATGCTACCTTGAAGCAAAACCTTATGAGTCCTCCGTTACCATCTCTTGTTAAGTGAATATTGCACTGCACTTCTACCACAGTTGTAGTAGTTACCATAGGCCATTTGGTGCACTTGTGCAGTATAAAATAAATAAATGGTCTGTGCCACTATTTCATACATGCTAGACATTGGTGAAATTGGTAGTTTGGCTATCCCACAATCCAAATTGGAATGAGAAAAAAATGGGTGGTCAGGGGAAAGGCATCGTATGCTCATGGCAGTTTTGGTCAAGAGCTAATAGATGGATAAATTAGGAGATTGCAGGATAGTCTCTTTCTCTCATCTTTTCATTGGATCATCCATGTTTACCCCCAGCTACAAGCTGCCATGTCTCCTCAAGCAGAACAGCGCAGAGTAGGTGTCGCATAACTTGTTCACATCCAAAGAACTGCAAATGCAAGTGGCATTACAAGAGTTCTATTTGATTGGTTTACCATGAGGACCTGTATGCTCCTCTGTAGTAACTAGGTATGTTCTGTCTCTGCTGTTACATGCCTCTGAAATAGGAGCTCCATCTTTCCACTCACACAGATAAAACAATAGCTGTTTGCATTGTCCTGCTGGTGCAGACAGCTCATAGGAATAATCTTGTCTGAATTTCCTTTATTCATTGACAATGAGAAGCCTTCACATTAAGCACCTTTTTTTGATTAGACCTATAATAGTAGTTCAGTTGCTTCCTACTTAGAGAGGTGAAGGCCCAGAAAACAAAGGAAAAAGTCAGGGAAAAACATTTTTTTCCATACCCTATCACACACACACACGGCCCTTTTTGTGGGAGTACTGAAAAAACTCCTATGAAATATATTTTTTTAGAATACTGCATTTCCCGTTCTCTTATCTTGAATAATAGTCATATTTTACCTCATTAAGGAACTTTTCAAAAGATTAATGAAAAGTGGTGACATTATATGCCCTTTCAATATGGAATTTGATTCTTGGAGCTTCTGACAAAGTTGGTCGTTATACTTCAGTAATGCATTATTTCTCATCCTGACTCAGTTACTCTTTATTGTCTAATTTAGAGTGACTCTGAAGATTCACTGATACAGTCCAAGAGGAGACTTTATAGACGTAAATATGCAAGATATCAAGCGCGGAATAATATTGAGCAGTCTGATTCTTCTAGTGAAGAAGCCAATGACTGTTCTGGATTTATAGAACAGGTAAATTGTTCTATTTCATTATAGTAGCTGGTAGTAGCAGAAACTCTTAAATGGTAGCTTGGGCACAGCTGGTTATGTTACGTTGGCCTCATGAATTATTTATTGGGTGACCTTCCGATAAGAACAAATTTATGTTACCTTCTTCCATCGTGGAACTGAGGGTGGTTGGATATGCATGCATCCTAGGAGGTCTTCCATCCAGACACTCGACCATACCCATTCCCACTTAGTTTCAGCAAGGTTGCTGTATTGTATGCCTTCTATCAATACTCAGACCATCTCCAAATCACTCAAAGGGTTAAATATTTAACTGTAACAATGCAGAAGGAAAACTACAGAAAGGCCTGGTCATGAACACGTCAAGCTTTCTTATACTGAATCAGACCCTTGCTCCATCAAGGTCAGTATTGTCTGTTCAGACTGGCAGAAGCTTTTCAGGGACTCAGGCAGAGGTTCTTTCACATCACCCTCTACCTGACTCTTTCAACTGGAGATGCCAGGGATTGAAACTGGAACCTTCTGCATGCCAAGCAGATGCTGTGCCACTGAGCCACTGCCCCTCCCATCATGAGCAACGTTAATATTATTTTACAGATGGGAGATATAAAGGTTTAGGAGATATTTGTTTCCAGTTAGAAAATTTTTTAGAGGAGAAATGAATAAGCATACGCAGGGCTGGACTGTAATTCTGGTGGTCTGAGAGAGCCTGCTGCAATGTCATGAAGTGTTTCAGACTGCCAGGACTATTACCCATCCCTGTGCACATTTGTTCAGAAGGAGAACCAACATAATTGCTATTGAGCTAGATAGTAGAAATATAAATCAGATACACTTCCGATACACAACTAGCATTGAAAGAATGGTAATCAAACTTTGCTGACTGTTTATTGGCTGAGTTATTACACATACACAATCAGGGTTTAAGGTTTTATGAGGGTGGGTTTCGAGGTAGGAACTGTTGCCAACCCCACTGACAACAACCATTGTTTTGTTCATTGTTGTTCAAGAGGCTATGGAAAAGGAGAGTGAGAAACCATACATAGGCTGCCATCTGGGATTTGTTACGGTGCCCTTAGAGGCACTGAGGAAACTACATGAGTGTTGGGGGATCCATCATTTTTTTGTCTCCATTGTGTGCCCAGTGGAAGCAGTATCCCTTACAGATATGAACTGCATTATTTCTCATGTCTTCTGTTTTTTAAAAAATCTTTTATGTCTGGGGTTTTAACAGTAGGGATCTTTTTGCACTGTCAAATTGCATCCCTGCTCGTGGAGCAGCTACCTGGAGCTGAGCCTCCTTATAAATTCCATAGACAGCCAGTGTGGTATAATGATTTGAATGTTGCACTAGGATCTGGGAGACCCAAGTGCAAATCTCTACCATGAAACTTGTTAGGTGACCTTGGGCTGGTCACATAGTCAAAGCCTACCCCCCACTTTATATGGTTGTTGTGAGGATAAAATGGAGGACAGGATAGTGTATATGCCTTTTAGCTATATATCTAAGGTTTTACTCTTAATAATAAGCAAGAACAAGAAGAACACAGTATAAAAAGTCTTCCAATCTCTTCTACTGTTCAGGAGTCTTAGCTAATTTATTTTTTATCTAGGAAGCAGAAGAAAGTGAAGGCTTGCCTCTGTCTTCTTATGAAGATGAGTGGGAGAGTGACAAGAGAACCAATAGTAATAGTTCCAGGTAAAGATCAACTTTAGCATGTCTTATTTCTGAGCCTCTATAATACTGTCTTTTGATTTCTGCATCTGACTTTTTTGAATATTAATAACCTATTGTTTAGTTAGGTGTTATGTTATTGTATCAACCCTTGCATTTGCAAGAATAATGCTACTTAGAGGAAAATTTCCCTTAACATAAATTAGTAGTCATGATCCTTAGCAGAGTTGCACAGCCTTCTAAGTCCATCGCTTAATCTCTGTTTAGGCTTGCACTGCTAGCTAGTTCCTTGTTGGGATGTTCCTGCAGTAGAAGGAGGAAAAGGAAGGGTATCTACACAGTAGGTGTAAAACCAAAGGCATTACCAGTGGAGGGTGATGCAAGTGTTTCGTCCCTTTCAGAGTGCTAGAATGTTCCATAAGTGGAATCAATCACAAAACATTGTGTAGAAAAGAACTTTTGTTTTATAGTTCCCATTAAAACAAAAGCAGATCTGAAAAAATCTTCAAATGGCAACAGTTATGAACCAATAAATGTCATGGCTCTCTAACTTCCACTCTTTCTTTCGTCTGGGATGGTTCTTCAGTAGTGACTCCTCAAGCAGATATTCTGACTGGATAGCTGATGCAGGGATTAATCTACAACCTCCCTTACGAACTTCTCGGCGCAAAACTATTAGATACTGTAGTAGTTCTGAAGAGGAGGTATCATTGGAACTATTACCTCCACCAAGGAGGAGGGGAAAAAGACGTAAAAAATACAAACCAAAAAGGCATGAGGAGGTATGCATGATTTTTCATTTACTTAAATATGCCTGAGTGGTTAATTGGGGTTAGGATTCTTCAATATTTATTAGCCAGCATTAACAGCGTATGCTATCTGCAATGTTACTAGAGCTTTCTATAAATAAGCACTGATGTGGAGTATTGTTGTAGGTCAAGTTGGGCAGCTGATGGCAAAAGCATATAGCTAGCTAATATATTGTTTTAAATGAGTTTTTTAAATTAAGAGGTAGTTGGTGGAGCTGATAAGATTCTTGAAGAGTCAGTAAACACAACACAGCGTTTATAAAAAATATTCTGAATGTCTGAGGGAAGGACAGTTTTAGATCCTTAATAAAAATTATGAAGCAAGTGTTTTTATGCAGAGTTGAATTATCAGTGGTGTTTTAAAATGCATTGTTGATAGTACCAAATTTTTAAAATTGAAGGCTTATAAAAGCAGCCTCAGGAGGCCCCTCCCCTCATATTATGAGATGAACCCCAGCCCCATCTGAGTTTGGGTCCAGGCCCTAATAATTTATCTAGCACCATCACAGGTCTCTGCCAGTTGCCTTCCCATTTACCTGGAAGCGATGGGAAGGTCTTCCTGGAGGGTTTTTATAAAGCCTCCATTCTTTTCCTCCATACTTTGTAATGGCTTGAGTGTTACAGTAGAAGCATCCCAGTCATCAAGGGTCCTAAGGTACTTGCTTTTGTAGGACATCCAAATCTTAAACTGAGTGTATCGGATGCCCTGGAAATGGCATGTTGCTGATGATTGAACTTTAGCAGTATTCAGCATGCCAAGAAGGGAGGCAAGTATCATAGGAAAGGAGGCTTCTCAGTGTTTTCATCACTGGGCAGGTAAAGAGAGTGTTAGGGCAGAGTTCATGAGGGGGCACTTTGATTCGTTGTGCTCCTGATTATGTTAGGTTGGCAAGAGTATGACAGGGTCCAAATTTTGGGATTAGGCACAGAAAGAGTTGTTTCATTTTTTGTAATATGCTTTAACTGAACCCTTTCTGAAATGAGCCAAGGGGAATTCATTCATCACTAATGTTTACAAATATATTGTGCAAGATATAGAATTATACTTCACTTCATTTTCAAGCTTTCTTTTCCCCCCTTCAGGGTATACCAATGAAAATAGGTTTAAGGGTTGTTTTTTAAACCAAATGACAAAAAACTTTAAGGTCTTCAGATCTTCTTTCTAGAGGCTATATATAAACTACATGGGTGGATGTTGTCTGTTGTATTGTATTGGAGTTGAACCTGGCTTCCAGAACTATAGTCCACCTTCTTCTCTGTGGCATAATTAAAACAACAATTAATAAAGAAATTGTAGCATATATAATCATTAGGGAACAATGCAAAATGATGGTGTAGTACATATAACAAGAAGTGCAATTAAACAATTAAAAATCTGAAGACAATATAATAAAACGCAACACCTAGAATAAACCGTTCAACAAAGCTGGTTTGCAGAATTAAAAAGCAATACAAAATAGTATGTTACATTCAGTAAAAAATGCTTAAAAGTCATCTCAAACGTTAGAACTACAGCACACTTCCATGTATAAAAATACCATCCTTAACAATTCCATTATATGCATTCTGTGGACTGAAAGAAGTGTGGGGAGCCCTCCTGACCTCATCTGGCAGGCAATTACACAAAGTGGGAGCTACAATGGGGACAACTTTGTATTAGTTGGGTGACAGAGTATAGGGTACAGTGGCTGTGGTTACTTCAGAGAGCTGTGGAGTTGTACATTAAAGGTTGTAAAATTAGCAGAAATTAGCAGCATTTCAAAGTTTTTGAGCCACTGTTCATAGAGATGTGACTTATGTCTAAGTACCCTTTTGCCATTGTCCTTTCTGTGTGTTAAGTAGTAATTTTTTATTTATTGAGATGCATAAGTGAGATTATCCAGAGAATAGTAGTCTTAACGCTTGTAGAAGGTTGTATGCTAATGTGAGAACTGTTTTACAAGGAAACACAAGAAAATGCTCCAACCCAGTCAGTGAGCCTAGAATCGCCCTATGATTTTCACCCTCCTGATTGGATTACAGACACGAGACTCCGAAGGTCTCCTTTTGTCCCTCAAATGGGCGATGAGGTGAGAATTAAATAATGGTATCTAATTTACAATCCTTTTAAAGTAACATTTTAGTCTTGTAACTTGCTGCAGTTCTCACGTGTTGGCACTTGAGAACAATCTATGCTTTGGTGGTACTTTTGTAGCCTTAAAGGACTCCTGTCCCTTTTAAGGCTTCAAAAAGGATAAGCCAAATTGCAATTGGGGGGCAATCTGGAATTGGTCACTGGTATGAGAGTCTGCATGCATTGTTCACCCTTCTTTCTTAAAGAGCTACTGAACCTTGAGGTAGAAGTGCTTGTTTACACATGCAGTTTGATGTAGTAGCCTGGGAGTGTGGTAAATTAATTAATCACTGTGTTCTGCTTCCCCTGTGGCACAGTATAGGAACATTTCTCTGTGGCCAATTTGTTTAACCTGGCTAGTTATGTACTGGTTAGAGGAAGGGCTGGTAAATGGAGCAGGCAGCTTCACCTCCCTAAGTAGTTAATTTAAAAGCTGGCAAACTAAATTGGGGGTGGAGAGCCAAATCTAAATTCTTGATTAAATTTTGTAGTCTGTAGAGTGATTTTTATTCATTGATTTTACCTTGTTTTCATTAGGTAATATATTTTCGACAAGGTCATGAAGCTTATATTGAAGCAGTAAGAAAAAACAATATCTATGAGTTGAATCCTCACAAGGAACCATGGCGAAAGATGGTTCTTAGGGTAAGACTAGCTCAGCATTAGCAATTGTCCATTCCCTAATGTACATTACAGTCCTTAACTCATTGGTTCTGTCAAGAAAAACTGGTTTTGGAAAACCAGCCAAACTAAGAAAGTAAATAAGGACGTAGTTTCAACTTCATGGAGTGGGAGTTTAGATCTGAACCTTCTGCAGACAAATGCATCTTGATGTACTGTACCATGTTAGTTTCTGTAAATATATACAATATATTATTGTTTAGCTGCTGTGTGCCCCATTTTGATATTTACAATGAAGATAATACAGGTTGTGTTTTCTGAAAACCAAAATAATCATATAGCTGTCAGTACACATTCTCAGTGTTGTTGCATTTAAAGTTGTAGGGAATCTGTTGCGAGAATTAATCTTTAGAGCCTCTGTAGTCCCACACATGAGACATGCATGTGTGCTGGCCAAATTACTCGATTTTGACTATTAATTGTCTCTTCTCTTTGGCGTAACACTATTATTTTTTAAAATTAATTTATACCCCACCTTCCAGCTTACATCATTGTTCTCAACTCCATTTCTTATCTTCACAACAACCCTGTGAGATAGGTTAGGCTGAGAGGGTGTGACTGGCCCAAGGTCGCACAGCAAGTTTCATGGCATGAATGGGGATTCAAACCTGGGTCTCAGATATTAGTCTGACAACTCCAAATTGGCTGTAGTGTCTCCATCAAGAGATTAGGGCTAGCACTTTACTATAGGTTGAAGAACCCTTGTGTTCTAGCTGGATTATTGAAGTTATTTTAAACTGTAACTTTCTTTTGAAGCTTTTTACTCATCAGGTGACTTTTTGATAATTCAGACTGTGTTGATGGCCTGTATATAGCCTGAAGATGCAAGCAATATAGAGACAAGGAATGCACAATCTGATAGATGTAGCTTATATCGGATGTGCTTGTTTGAAGATTTGTTTCCTGCTTGGCTTGTCGAACGTTTACAAAGCGTTTGAACTGTCTCAGAATCCATCCATCCATTTCTTGTGTAGTACCCTAGGGGAAAGTGTGAGCAAGGCACCCCTGATTCCTCTCCAAGGATGAATGTGAATACTAATAGGCTTACCACATCTTGCAGGTGTTAGTAATTGGGCCTCTGCCTACATGGCCCTTATCTTCAAGGCCAGAGTTAGGAATGTGATAATTGACTCTTCTTGAGAACCTGTTGCTCACAGGATGGGAGGGGGAAACAACAATGGTGATGTAGTCTTCTAGAGGGTTCTATTGAGAATGTGTACTGATTGGATGGTTACCATCACCTCACACTAGTTGGCTCAAGACTATAATTGAACTAAGAGGCTAAGCGAAAGAGGCTAATTTGGGGGATTTGGTTGAACTGAGGCCTGGACTATGATATGCTTGCATTGCAATGCACGGCTATGTAGAGAATGCTTAAGCCATCACCTCCACCTTTTGGAGATTATGCCATCAAATATGTTAGATAGTAAAAGTTAGCTTTTCTTGTTTTCCTCTGCTGCTAAATTTTAGAGTGTTGTGTTGCCTAGAAACAAAAACTATTTCTGAAAAGTCTTTAATAAACTTCATATATTTTTACAAAGGACTGGTTTCTTGTGTACACTGCCCTGGAAACCCGTGGGGTTCAGGCTTGGAGTCCTTGACAGTAAGATACAAAGCTGCCCTTTTATGAAGAGATGGTGTCATTGGATCCAGCTCTGTCTTCTGTTGGGCCCTGAAATGCTAGTCTTTGTAGACTATGAATGTGTTATAATAGCTAATAGGTAATACCTGCCAACCTAGCAGTTAAGCAAGAAATTGCAAGTAGATGAATAGGTACCGCTTTGGTGGGAAGGTAACAGTGTTCTGTGCGCCTCGGCGTCTAATCATGCCGGCCACATGACCACGAAAACATCTCTGGACAGTGCTGGCTCTTTGGCTTGGAAACGGAGATGAGCACCGCATCCCTAGAGTCAGATTCGACTGGCTTTCGAGCAAGGGAAACCTTTACCTTTAATGTCTCACAAGTGACTTGCTGGAATTGTTAAAAACCTGGATATTAGAGCAGATTATGATGGGTTTTGTTTTAAAAAGATAGTTTAAGTAGTTGTAAATTTGGTTTTTTATTTTTTTGGCAGCTAGAACAGGAGCCCTCCTCCCTGTGTTGATGCATGCACTATTGGTTCAGAACAGTTAGATACTTAGTAAGAAATATGCAACAGAAACTAAACTTTTTTCTGTTTTGAGAAAGTGAATTGTTGTAAAACTTTTATTCCCAGTATTGCCCTGGTTTCTGCTGCTCAGTTTCTGACAGAATTATAAATAATTTACTTGACCATTATACAAGTATTAATGAGAAACTTTATTATATGTGCATTTGTTAGGAACAAGAATTGGTAAAAATTGTTGGGATACATTATGAAGTTGGTCCTCCTACACTATGTTGTCTCAAGCTTACTCTTATGGATCATGTTAGCGGGCAGCTTCTGGACAAATCCTTTTCTCTCAAGTATGTATTTCCCCCCACATATCAGGGTTTTTAAAATTTAGAGATAATGTAGATAATTTGTACACATTCGAGGACTAATTGGGCTGAACCTTCTTTCTAGATACCATGATATGCCAGATGTTATTGATTTCCTTGTATTACGTCAGTTCTACGATGAAGCACGACAAAGAAACTGGCAGCCTGGTAAGTTTTATTTATCCTTTCAAAGTAGTCTGTGGTAATTCACAATAGCAAATATGTGTAAAAGGATTTCAGCTCTAAAAAGAACAATTTAAACTGTCAGAATGGAACTTAAAATCCCTTGGCAAATGATTGGTAGTACTTTACTATGTTTAATAGAACCTTGTATTTTTTTCAGAATCTAGTGTTTACCCCAAATTGGATATTAAAATGTGTAATTTAGAACTCATAGCTTAATGCCTTGTTCTTCCTGTAAAGTGCAATTGTGGATACTATCCATAGGGTTGAATCCTGTTGACCCACAGATAGAGGAAGTTTGTGGAAGATTTTTGTTACTTACCATTGCCCCTCCTGAAAAGCTGGGGGAGGACCCTTGGGAATAATATGAGATGCAGTACAGGAGAGTGCAGCAAGAAGTGGGTTTGGCAGAAATCACACATACACACACTGCACAATTTGCAGAAGAACTCGTGCTCTGGGCAAGGAGCAGTTTTTACTTATCTCTCCCCCCCCCCGCCCCCTTCATTTCCAGAGGTACCCTACATCTGAGGCAGTTTTTCAGGGCTCAGGGAACTGCAGCAGGAAGAGGCAAGTGGCAAAAATATTAACTTGTTTCATTTGAGGCAGCATAGAATTCAGACTGTAATCTGCAATGCATGTGCTGAACTAAGAAACTGCATTGTGTGACAGTCTGCCATGAAATAGCTGCTCTTATTTTCGATGTGATCTGAACAGAAAAAAGTTGGTTTCAGAGAATTATAGAGTACTATGTTTTTTTCCCTTACAGATGACCACTTTCGTTCAATTATCGATGATGCTTGGTGGTTTGGAATTGTTTTGAGCCAAGAACCATATCAACCACAATATCCAGACAGCCCGTTTCAGTGCTACAGTGTTAAGTATGTGCATGTTTTGTACATTATTTATCAGCAGTACTTATGAATGATAATAATAACAGTAACATATTATAAAAACAACATGAATAAAGCAGATCTTTGTGGTCTCTGTGCATCACACCTGTGGGATAAAGGGCATCCATTGGTAACATAACAAGCCTAAACAAACCTCTTCCCGCGCTCCGCCCCCAAGGCACACGCAGGCTCTCACTGCGCTTGCCTACAGGGGCAGAGCCCGGGTCTCCCACCAGTTCTATTCTGACTGCTGCACTGAGCAGTCGCTCTTCGACTTGGTTGGCGAACTTCGTCTCCAAACTGTGAGCTTAGCCTTACTTACTCTACTTTCCAGCTTTTACCTCTTTATACAGATATTCATCTACTATATTAAAAAAAGGGA